ACAAAACAATAGGAAAAGTCTTAATCTTTTCCCCAAGAAAATAATGAAAAAAATATCTAAGTAAAAAGCTTCCAAAGAACGGCAGAAACCCTTATATAATTAGGTAAGAACTCGTCAAGCTCAATCTTGTGATTATGCTGCTCTTGGACTCCAAGTCCGATTCTGAATAAAGTCAGGTCTTCTTTCGCCTTGACCATCTATCGATGCTAAGGAAGAAATATCAATTGATGCTGATCTTGTGGTATCGATTCTAACTTAGCTGATTCATGTCAGCCACGGGTTCTTCATCCAAATATCTCCAAAAACTACACATAACTTCGAAATGAACCTAGACCTGAAAACAATATAATATATAGCCTAGACACACAAAAAGTCTTCAAAAGGGGTCCATATTATGGTCTAAGACTTCTAAATAATAGCGTATATCAGTGATCGACAACCTCCAGCACCCATCGATCGATGACCACCTCTCACATACCGAGTGCAGTTACCGCATGTTGATTTAACACGACTTAGCGCACTCAAGAATCCAATCAACACCTTCAGATAACCCGCAAGACACCACTAGCACAGATTCAGAAGATGCACCAAATCCTATGCAATTTGACATGCCTACTGAGGGAAGAACCTTGAGGAGAAGGAAAGAGAAGGTTCATAAGCATCTAAAAAGGGGAATTAATGAGAATGAGTTGGATAGCTTTACTAAGAGAGTCCTTAGGCTTCCACTGAATAAGCCATTTGAGGAGGGTTAATTTACCGACATGTTGTGGATATTCATCAAAGAGACCAAGGAAACTAAGAAATATATTGAGAAATTTTTCCATCACGTCGGTGAAAAGATGAAGAAAAGGATTACACTGAAGAAGAAGAGGGTCCTGAGAATTTTGCAATACCATGCTTGGTAAAAGGCATTGAGTTCCCATGTGCACTATGTGACACATGAGCTTCAATCAGCATACTACCAAGGGTTATGGCAGACCAGCTAGGTCTGAAGATAGAGCCTTCAGAGGAATCATTCACTTTTGTAGATTATTCTCAAAGGAACTCATGAGGAATAATCAGAGAACTTGAGGTGCAAATTGGTAACACCCTTGTCCCAGTTGATTTTCATGTTCTAGACATCAAGCTGAACTGGAATTCTTCTATACTACTTGGGAGAGCTTTCATGGCTTCTTTAGGAGCAGTATGCAACATGCAACCAACCAGTTCTGCCTGACACTAATAGATCATAATGTCTACTCCTATTGAAGCCATGAAAGCTGTCAAGTCACGGCCATCCTCATAGGAACTAAATCTGATCCAGGATTCATAGCAGCATGCCATTGCGGAGCTGAATACGAGACAGAATATGAAGAATTGATCAACACTCACACTCCATCATCGATCGATAGTCACATTGAAGAATCGATCGACAGTCATCTGGACGACGATTTTCCAGAAGGTCCTATTGAAGTTGGGAGAATGATTACTACCAACCTACCTTTGCAGTGGACACTGTTTCACCTTCAAAACAAGATGATTCATTTCCTGACGAGTATGACGAGGAATACAAAGAGGAACGATTATTGAGTATCATGGTACTTCTACAGAAAAAGATAAAGTTCTCCACCATTCCTATGGAAAACAGAATGTGACATCGATCGACAGAGGCTACCCATCATCGATTGACAGTCAGCAATAGGGTAGCTACTCAATTGGCAGTTGGGCAGATGATCGCAGTAAAGAAAGTTATGCAGTCGAAACCGCACTAGATGGGATATTTGCAGATGAAACACAACCATCGATCAACAGCACTCGTTCACCATCAATCGACAATCGTGTACCACCACGATCCGAGGTAAGAAGACAAGATAATAAAAATAATGATTTTCTAACACCAGATTTGTTTGGTATTTTTAGGGATCCAGACGGCTATGCACGAGCAAAGAATGGATGAATTCTACAAGTATCCAAAGAGGACATTGCAGACATCATATGGCTAATAGACCAGACACCCTCTTCATTCAACAACATAAAGAATACCAGAAGAGGGAGTTAGATGAGATATTTTCTACAGCTTGTTGAGTTGTGACTCGTTTTGAACGACAAAGTCAACCACGAAGATGATCATTGATCAACAAACAAGCCCACCATCGATCGCCAGGCATCCCAAGTTTGACAAAAAGAGCTTTTAGCCGTTTTGGAGTAAGGAAATTCCACTGAGAAGAAAGAGATGAGTATGTCAGCTACATAGATGATAACGGATATGCACGTGGAATAGATGGCAACATCATCCGCATATCAGACGATGACATCCAAAATCATCTGAAAAGAGCATCAATGCACATGCCCACCTACATATGTCTTCCAAGACATGCATAGGTATAAACTCAGACCAGGGAAGAGCCAAACACCTACAACAAAGATGAGATTGATGAAATGGTGTTTGGAATATTTGACGCTCAAGGAAGATCAGAAGATGATTTCGACATAAAGCTCGGCAGTGTCTACTACCCTCAAAAAGACAGCATCAGATGGTTGACTACATGCATGGAAGAGATGAGGCACTACATAGCCAATATGCAGACACAACGTGCAACCGAAGAAATACCATCACCATCGATCAACGGCAACATCCCGCCAACGACCGACAAAGAGCTTACACCATCGAATCCGACGAACTCTGAACCAATTACTTACACCAAGAAAGAGATTGATGAGTTAGTAGAAAAAGTCAACAGAAGTCTAGGTTCAACAGAGGGAAAACATGACAAGAGATGTGATGGTGTCTACTTCTCAATCGACAACCAACTTTTTGACTTCACTCACAGACGAGTTGGGAAAGGAACTAGCTGAAATTTAGAGATACATAGCAATTTGCCTAGACGCTTCAACATTGACCGGTAGATGCACGAAAACATCGATCACAGTGACTCCAGAATAGTCCGAGGAAGGCTAGTAACAAAGGAGATATTCCAAGACTAGCTTAATACAATCAACAATGGAGAGAACGTCTCAGATCACACATATGCAACACTTCTGAAGCATCAGTTCAGTATTAAGAGTCTTGGAGAAAGGTTGAAAAAGATAGAGAATTCTACTGCAACATGAATGATAAGTGCAACAGAGAAGATGAAGCCATAAGAAGCTTCGTTATTACAATGTTTCAGAAGAGCAAAGAAGAAACAGAGACTTGTTTCCCAACAAGTAGTTGTTTTCAACCACACTAGCCAACCAACCTCCAGAGTCAAGCTAAATGAATATAAGAAAGCACTAAGTTGAAAACACCCAACTATTAGGTAATTTTACTATGTTTTTATTAGATTAGTACTTTTTCGTTTTTAATTTTTCTACAGGTCAAAAAATAAAAATCAAGATTTGAGAATTTCCTTGGATATCGATCGACAAGATCATGTCGATATCGATCGACATTAGATCATTTGTAGCGACCAATGGAAACACCATTCTATCAATCGACAATTTATTCGGTCCGGTATATCGTTCATACTTGTTAAATTGATTCATTATGATTTAGTTATCACCATAACTCAGACAATATATACATTGGGGACAGTGTAATTTAAGTATAGGAGAGGTTTACTGATATTAGTTTATTCATGAGTCTTATTAAAATGTTTTCAAAATGATGTTTATTGAGTCAAGAAGGGGATAATAGTTATTTTCCAAATTTTGCTTATTATCTAACCACTCGTTAGCACCATTCTAGACTTAATAATTGCAGATAGCACTATAGATACTTAAGTGGATCGATCTATCAACTATATCCATGCTTGCTGAGAATGTTTGAAGGAACCAAAGCTGACCTCCAACCTAATTTAATTTAAACTGCTTGTCTAGGGATTTGACATACATTGGATTGGATTTCTTCTGCAAGTCTGGGTGCTTCTGATTCCCTTCCCTCTCTTTCTTCGGCCTCTACAAATAAAAGATTAAGATGATTTCTTGAGATGTAGAGGGGTAGGTACAATACCAATGACCCCACTATTCTAATTCAAAGGAATGATCACACATCGATAGAAGCGAGGGGTAGGTACATTATCAGTGACGCCACTATTCGCTTACATCTTTGTCAAAAGAAAGAAAACATTACAGAAAAACCAATAAGACGAACAAGATGGAATGCATTAGCACATGTCTCTGTTTATTGGCATTGAGTTATAAGAAGATTAAAAGAAGAGAGAAAAAAGAAGACAAAAGGGATCAGAGAAGACTACTTGTATGTTTAGAAACTTGCATACGTAAGAATCCACGTGTCCTTTGCTAGATAATTCCAAGATAAAGTCTGCACTTTTATTTTTTGTAAGAACTAAGGTCAGTAAAAGGGCTAGTCAAAATAGTACAAACACGTGAACACTTATCTAGGAACTCTAGTGAGTACTTTATCGATCGCACACAAAGCTTACTAATAACGCGTCAATCAATATTCATATAGAATAATCAATCGACGTGTGAACGGCATATCGATCAATATTTCTATTGAATCATCGATCGACACTTTCTATTGATCAAACGACGACAGTTGAGATCAATAAATCTAGGAAATAGACAAATCTAAACATGCGACAGCTGATCGATTTGTTTTCTAAGTTAAGCTCTCTATAATATCATGCAAGCTGTTACAGCTGATCGATTTGTTTTTTAAGTTGAGCTCTCTATAATATCATGTAAGCAACTCAGAAAAATAAATAGTGGAGAACAAACGCGTTGCCGCTGCGGTTACTTTTTACAAAGGCTGCGGTGTTTTCCGTGACGCTGTGTAAAACAGCGATAGTTAAACGAGAGCTGCGTCTGATTTTAATGGTGGAAAGTACGGTCACCAGCGGTGTTCTCCTTAGTTGGGCAAGAAATCA